ACGAGATAATATCTCGTAATTACGAGATATTAACTCATACGTACGAGATAATTATCTCGTAATTACGAGTTAATATATCGTAATAACGAGATAATATCTCGTAATTACGAGATAAGTATCTCTTAATTACGAGATAATTATCTCGTTATAACTCGTAATTACGAGATATTATCTCGTAATAACGAGATAATTTATCTCGTAATTACGAGTTAATATCAATACAACAATACGCCGTGAATTTCAGTATGAAGAAAACTTGATGGATTAATCACGTGCACGCGCACTCGTTGTAAGCCTACGACATGACTAACGACTTGAAAGAGACCCGTCGTAGATCTTTTTGACGTGGTTTTTTTCGCACATGCCGAAAATCTTCCCTTACCGAATTCGGTCCTGCTACCCGACCTACTCGGGTAATCGATCATCCAACCCCCTGTCACAAGTGATAGGTCGGGTGACAGATTCGCTACTTACCTAAAATTTATTACCTGCTGCCGGCGGCCTGCGAAGGTCGCGTATAGTGTATTGTAGTTAGGCCTAGGAAGGTTAGTGGTCTAGAGTGAGCAAGAGATATTTCGTTTACAATGGTCAGGCACGGCAAACGCAATGAATACGCCTACAATCTAGGCTACAACAATTTACTCTCTTAACATATTCCTACATTTTCAATAAAAAGAAGTTATAATCGGGAGCGCATGTTTAGGTGTGGTGGAGTGATGTCAAAAAGTGCATTGGCACTCCGTAACGAACAGAAGCAACTACTGAATATCCCGCAAATATTTTTTACTGGGAATTGTTCTTCTTGTTTATACCACAGTATAATTAAAAAGAAAATACAAATTGTGTTCACATCTAAAAATCGGGAAAATTACGATGCATAACAAAACAAAAATAATAAGATTGAACTGAAGCGCCTACCCCTGGCATCCCAAGACCGAACCATTGTGTGCCCGGTGAAGCTTATTATAATAGTATTTAAACATGTGTATTATAACGGTTAGTGCACGTGTTTGAATAATAATATAATAATATTCAAACACGTTTATTATAAAGGTTAATACACATGTTTAAATGTGGTAATGTTTAGGCATGTGTATTTATAGTTATGATACAAAATGAATACCCTGCCGCAAAATGGACGGTTCTAA